TTGCTTAGGTGCTTGTTTTAGGCCATATAATGATTTTAACAACCTGCACACCTTGTTCTCTTGACCATCCGCAATGAACCCTTTTGGCTGATCCATATAGATCTTCTCTTCTAACTCTCCATTCAGGAAAGCTGTCTTAACATCCATCTGATGAATGATAAGACCATAAGAGGCAGCCACGGCAATTAAGGTACGAATTGTAGTCAATCGAGCAACTGGTGAATAGGTGTCAAAGAAATCTTCACCCTCTTTTTGGGTATATCCTTTGGCCACAAGCCTTGCCTTGTACCTCTCAATTGTACCATCAGGCCTAAGCTTTTTCTTGAAAATCCATTTGCAACCTATAGGTTGACAACCATAAGGACGGTCAACGACCTCCCAAGTTCCATTAGACATAATAGAATCCATCTCACTCCTTACTGCTTCCTTCCACAAGTCAGCATCAGGAGAAGAATATGCCTCTCTAATGGTGGTTGGTATGTCTTCCACAAGGTACACTAAATAGTCATCACCAAAGGATTTTGCAACCCTCTGTCTCTTGCTCTTTCGAGTGACTATAGTGTCATCCTTCTCAGGGATGTGCACATGAAAATCTTCAGCATGATCTGTTGGAATAGACAGTTCGTGTTCATGGGGAATTATAGTCTCATGACTTGTTTCACTAGGTGTATTTTTCATTGGAAATTCATTCTCAAAGAAAGTAGCATCTCTTGATTCCATGATTGTATCAACATACATATCAGGAACTTCAGATTTTATAATTAAGAACCTATAACCAATGCTGTGAAAGGCATAGCCAAGGAAAATACAATCAACAGTTTTAGGCCCAAGTTTACGCTTTTTGTTGATTGGCACATTTACTTTAGCCAAGCAACCCCAAGTGCGCAAATATGAGAGATTTAATCTTCTCTTTTCCCATTCCTCAAATGGTGTGATTTCTTTGTTCTTTGTTGGGACTCTGTTCAGGACATGACATGCTGTCAAAATTGCCTCACCCCACCATTCCTTGGATAATCCCGCTGTACTCAACATGGAATTCACTAACTCTGTTAGAGTGCGGTTTTTCCTTTCAGCAATCCCATTGGATTGTGGTGAGAATGGCGGTGTCCTCTCATGAACAATACCATGTTCCACACAGAACTCATCAAAAACATTAGAGAAATATTCTCCACCTCGATCGGACCTTAACCGCTTTATTTTCCTCTCAAGTTGATTCTCAACTTCAGCTTTATAGGTCTTAAAATAATTAAACGCTTCATCTTTTGTTTTTAAGAGATACACATAGCAAAGCCTGGTGGAGTCATCTATAAAAGTGATGAAGTATCTTTTACCGCCTTTAGTCAAAATTCCATTCATTTCGCACAAATCAGAATGGACAAGTTCTAGAGGTGCTAAATTCCTCGCCTCAGCAGCCTTGTGAGGCTTACGGGTTGTTTTGATTCAACACATACATGGCACTTAGACTGTTTGACCAAATTGAATTTAGGAATTAAATTTAGATTTGCTAACCGCATAAGACAGCCAAAACTTGCATGACAGAAACGTGAATGCCATAAATCCGACTCATCAGAAATATTAACATAATTCACCATTTTATTACACACATCATGCGTTGATAAGCGGAACAAGCCTCCATAATCATATCCTTTACCAACAAAGGAACCATGTTTTGACACAACACATTTATTCGACTCTAGAACAATTTTGTAGCCATCTCGACATAGCATAGATGCACTAACAAGATTCTTCTTGATGGAGGGCACATGTTTGACGCTCTTCAATGGCACCGTCTTTCCCAAGTAAACTTCAGAGTGACCGTACCAACACCAAGAACATGAGCACGCGACCCATTTCCCATCAACAAGGCGCTGGACCTCTCGACTGGTAGGAAGAAAAGCAGAGAAACATCAGACACACATGTATATTTGCACCACTATCCATCCACCACTCGGGTGAATTACATCTTTGAAAGAACAAATGGTAAAGAATTACCATACCGGATGTTCCTTCTCTGATGATCGATAGTGACAACATTTGCTAATTTCTTTTCCTGCTTGAACTTGCGCTCGGGGCACTCACTTGCCCAGTCTTTGTTTCAACGCCACAAACAAAGCGACCTCCATCTCTCTTGTTGTTGTTCTTTCTTTTAAACTGTCTTTGTTTGAACAGGCTTAGTTGTGTTCTCTTGCTTATTACGGTTTTTCTTCTTCTTGTTAAACTTGCGGAATCCGAGTTTCTCTCTTCGCACCACATTAGCGAAGAGGTCTCAACGCTCTTTCCATTGTCTTTTGCTCTCGCTCTCTCCTCAACATCAAGAGTACCAATGAGCTCTTCCACATTGAACTCCTGTCTCTTATGTTTGAGTGAGGTAGCAAAGTCCTTCCAAGAAGGTGGTAACTTGGCGATTATACCGCCAGCCACAAACTTGTCAGGTAAGACACATGGAAAAAGCTCAAGTTCTTAGCTAGTGCACGAATCTCATGAGCCTGTTCCACTACTGGATCGGTTCTCAACCATCTTATAGTCATACATTTGCTCCATGAGATACGACTACTTCTGACATCGGTAACTCCAAACTTTCCAACAAGTGCATCCCGGCTCTTTCCCCAGTAGGAAGGATGATATAGCTTTTACGGAATTTTGGATCAAGTGCGCTAATCATTTGCACCTCGAAGAGGTTGTCATCACCTTAAACTTAGCCTCATCCTCGGGAGACAAGTTAGCAGGGTTTGCCCTCAAAGACATGATAACATGACATTGCGATGAGCCACAATTCCATCTTAGCTTTCCAAACCAAGAAGTTTTTACCATCAAAAGGATCGAGCTTTTAACACGGCAGCAAAACCTCCGATGCGGAAAAATGCCTAAAATTAGGTTTTGGATTGTTAGGATAATAGGCAATTTCCATGTCATTTTAATTCCATAAATCAACAAAGATGATGATGACATATAAACAATTATTAATCATTGTAATCATGATATCGATTATATCCATGGTGAAAATACATGCTAGATCATATATCATGTGAAACTTATAAAGATCAAAAGCATGAGAACTTGATTCATGAATAACAAAGAGGAGCAGATGGCATGATATACATCTCATATACGCAACAAGCATAAAGCTATATACGGTACAAATGTAATCAGAAGAAGGAAACACATATGCAGAGCATATTTCTAGCATGAACAGGACATAAGCATATTTCTAGCATGAGCAGATATAAGATATGAAGCAAACCGATGAGCTGCTTGAAACATGTAGAACATAAAGCAGAAAGATGATGAAACAATCATACCCTCCCATCCGCGATTCTCGAAGTTCAAAGAACGCCCCTTGTCATGCGTAGTAGAAGAAGAAGGTGAAGACGACGAGAAGGCGCACGAAGACGGAGACTCTTTCGGGCGATCGCGTGAGACGCTCCCCAAAAACCTAATTACCGATCCCCCGAGCAAGGTCTCGAACGACAATGGCTTCGGAGGCACCTGCCCTCTCGCTTCTCCGTGCGCGCAGAGTTACGAGATGAGGAAGGCCATGTAGCAACTGAACTATATCTCTGGATCAGTACTATCTCTTTAACTGGAGTTGGAGGATTAACAGGAAAAACCGAGAGGTCCCGGAGGAATGCGCCGGGACGGGAAGGTGGAGAGACTCCGGGAGATCAGGAGTCAGACTGGCTTCAAGTTGAAACTCCCGTGGTTAGTGGGTATTAAAAAGATAACACGCCACGCCACGCCTCGCCAGAGTTTCGAGATGAGGAAGGCCATCTAGCAACTGAACTATATCTCTGGATCAGTACTATCTCTTTAACTGGAGTTGGAGGATTAACAGGAAAAGCCGAGAGGTCCCGGAGGAATGCGCCGGGACGGGAAGGTGGAGAGACTCCGGGAGATCAGGAGTCAGACTGGCTTCAAGTTGAAACTCCCGTGGTTAGTGGGTATTAAAAAGATAACACGCCACGCCTCGCCACGCCACGGCCCGAGCCCATGCCCGGCCCGGCCGGCAGCGGCGGCGCGCGCGCGCGTGTGGCACGTCTTTGTCCGTTTCTCAACTTCTCAAATTAGACGGATCAATTCCAATCATTTAAGTTGAGTCAACGTCCTTTTAACTTCCAATCCGGTACAAATAGTAATACCCACAATTACAAGCCATAGAGTTATTGATTTATTAAATTTATAAATGGGCCTAGCCCATAATAAATCCAACACCAGTGAGCCACACAACCAACGTGTGCTTCGGAAGGCCCCACCCGTGCGACCAGGTATGCAATTAGCCAATTACCCATGCAAACAAATCTGACACCTAGATTGACTATCACTATCAACTAGCGCGTTGCCGGCAAATAAACAAACAGACAAATATAATCAAACTTCGCCCCGTTTCCTTAGCTTCCGCGCAGCATGAGCTGTAAAAAAAATGTTCACAAAGTAGTGCCTTTAGAATAAAAAAAACACTTGATGTTTTTTCAAGAAAATCGTATAATCTTTTAATGCAGAGTTAGCAAATATTTTAAAATTATAAAATATTCATAAGACATGATAACCTATGGTAAAATAAAAATAGGAGTACCTTGTAGAAGACTCTACATAAGGGTTAAAGTTACAATAGTTTCATAAAATCTTACCAAGAATATAAGGATTTATGACCAAACGACGAATGCCATAATTTTTTTTTTAAAAACTCAAGGTATATAGAAAGGAAAGTTCTCTATTTTAGTTTTGAGGTGAGGTAACCTGTATTTATCTATCATGCTCATTGGCACTGAATGTTATTATCATTCGGAGATGGATTTTCATATGAGAGTGGACCTCCGATCTTCACCTAGCAACACCCCATTACATAAGGAGAGATTTTCCTCGTTGCCACTAAAAATTATAACATTTCTTTTATTACCATCAAAATTTCCAAAATTCCCTTACTGCCATCAAATAATTTTTGTGTTTGCCTGTTACCATTTCGGTCGCCTGCACTTACCAACGCCGTTAGATGGGGCAACGCCATGTCACGCGCGGCGAACCTCTACCGCTTGCTTTCCGACGCCGAGGCGGCGCGCCTGCTGGGCCCGCTCTGCCTCGGCTCCCACGCCATGCGCGCGCTCGTCCTGGGCGACGACGCGCGCCTCCTCGCGCTCGCCGAGAAGCTCGACGCGCTCAACCCGTCGCGGCCGTCGCCTCGCGCCTCGGCCGCCGCTGCACGGCGCCGCCGCTCATGGGCTTCGACCACGTCTACGCAGACCTCCTCGCCGAACGTCCAAGAGCACGGTGACATCACTCGCGCCACCGTCCACAATTGGCGGCTCCGCTCGAGCCCCGGCCATGGAGGCGTGGGCGAGCTGCAGCCCGGCCACGCGCGGCGTGGGGGCTCCGCTCGAGCCCCGGTCATGTCGGCGCGGGCGAGCTGCAGCCTGGCCACGCGCGGTGCGGGGGCGAGCTCGAGCCCCAACCATGGCGGTGCGGGCGAGCTGCAGCCCGGCCATGCGCGGCGCGGGGGCGAGCTCGAGACCTGGTCATGGCAACGCTGGCGAGCTCCAGCCCAGCCACGACGGTGCGGGGGCGAGCTGGCGTCGCGAGCTCTGTTTCTTCTCCTTCTCCCTCCCTTCGTCGCGCGGGGCTGGGCACGAGGCTGCACGAGGTGTTGCGGGGCTGGCCGCTGGCCGCTGGGGCAGGGAACGCGGGGCGGGGCGCTGGCCGCCAGGGCTGGGTGCGGTGGCCGGATGTGGAAGAACGGACGGAAGCGACCGGATGCGGAAGAACGAACGAACGGGAGGTGGAAGAAGGGAGGAAACTGCCTGCGTCTCGCCTGCCGCAGCCGTAGTTCACACGTCAGGCGGCCGAGCGCGGACGGGACGGAGGTGACAGCAACAGTAACAGAGGTAAATGGTAGGGCCCAACTGTCAGCGACTATAACTTAATAGGTTTTAACGGTAGTGGCAACTAAGAAAACATAAAAAATATTTGATAGCAGTGAAGAAATTTTATAAATTTTGATGGCAACGAAAAAAATGCTATAATTTTTAGTGGTAACTAAGGAATTGTCTCTTACATAAGCGGGTGATAGGAGAAAACTTTACAAACAATTGTCTTTCAAACTGGTGATCTTAATTGTTACTCCATCTGTCCTGTCCTGAAATACAAAAAAAATCATAATAAGCATTCTAAAACATATTAGTACTAGCACGATCGGGAGTCAAGATGGCAACGGGTACCCGAAATCCGAGTACCCGACGGGTTTTACCCGATAAGAAGGCGGGTATGGAAGACATTTTGCACCCGCGGATATGTTATTGGACGAATTCTTGTACCCATCGGGTATGCGGGTACGGGTGTGGGTGTATACTACCCATACCCGCATACCCGCGGGTAAAAAAACCCGCATAAATAATATTCAACCTCTGTAATTTTAGTCCATATAAGCATATAGCCCATATTTGGCCCATATAAACATATGAGTATATATATTCCAGAACTCTCTCAAACCCTAATCCTCATCCTCACTCCACTCCACCAGCCCATATTTATGTTTTGCTGCTCTATTGTTGATTTGTTTTGCTGGAAGCTATTATATTTTGGTGTGTGAACTCGGGTATATTGTCGGGTAAGAATTAACCATCGGGTAAGAATTATCCGTTGAGTGCGGGTATGGAATAAATTTTCTACCCGTCTGCGGGTACGGGTAACCCGACGGATAAAATTTTGATCTAGCGGGTGCGGATACGGGTGGCCAGTACCCATCGGGTACGTACCCGTTGCCATCTTGAATCGAGAGCGCCTGCTGCGCCGGTTCGCGTGACTACTATATTCAGAAGACGATGATTGATAGAATAATGGTAGACACTATATTTTTAAATTGAGTTAGTGGTTCCTTCACATGTAATTTCTCATATTTTAGAATAAATTTTAAATGCTTGTATACCTTGTACTATCTTAAGGTGTACTATCTTAACGCTGACGAGTGACACAGAAATTCAAATGGAAACAATTTTTATCAGAATTTACAGAGGTGTGATAATCAATTATTACCTGCCGTCGTCCCTCGTTTTGTTAAGAATCACCAATCCTTCTTCTCCCTTCATCTTCATCTGCACAAACCAGGCACAGGTAGCAGCCAGAGCGCACCTCTTGTCGGAGCCTCCTCCGTCCTTTCCGCTTCCTCCTCCCCACCACAGCGCCTTTGCGGCTGCCCGCGCCAGCACCTCTTCCGCTTCCTCCATCCCACCCCAGCGCCGTGCCCTGAGCTTGTCGCTGGAGCCAGCAACTTTCTGTTCATCTTCTCCACCACGGGTTGCAATCCTACTGCTAGTACTACAGTACAGTGAGGGGCGGGCTGGGAGATGGCGCTCCTCGTGAGGCCCCTCTAGGTGGCGGCCCTCCTCGGCCTTCCTGCTCGGCCGGGCCTCGCCGTTGCTACTCCAGCGCCTCCACGCTGGGCGGCATCCATCCGCTCCCTGTCCTCCTTGCCGATCTATATCGTAGTTCGCCACCAGGTAGGTCGTGCCCGCATGGCAAATGCAATGTTTCAGTGTTTCAGCTATTTTTGACTTTTGTTTCAAATGTTTCATCTGGATGTTGCAAAAGTAGATCTGAATATTGCCTATGTTTTCAAGTGTTTCGTCTTGAGTTGCAAAAGTAGATCTGGATGTTTCATATATTGCAATGACAAAATACGCATGTTGCAAGCCTATGTTTCAAGTGTTTCAGACGTATGTTGCAAACGTTTCATATAGATGTTTTAAAAGTAGATCTTGGTATTGCACATGTTGCAAATGGCTACATATGCATGTTTCAATTGCATGTTAAGTGTTTCATTTGTGTTCTGGATGTTTCAAAACTAGATCGGGCGTTGCACATGCGGCAATGCGGCCGGTGGCCGGCGGACAGCGGCTTGCCGCAGGGCTTCGGCTTCTACCTCGTGCGTTCCTCGCGCCACGCGCGCCTTGCCCTCTCCTCTCCTCTCCTCTCCCTCCCCTCCCCTCCCCTCCCTTCCCTTCCCATCCATTCCATTCCATTCCCTCCATCTGGCCATGGCAGTTTGAGCTCGTCCGACGAGCGTGTGGACGTCGGATAGGCGCAACAAAAGGCGTGGGCATGGGCCGGGTGGGCAGGCAGAGCAGCGCAGGTCGTATAGGCGCTAGCCACACCCTTGTTCTTATCATCCCACAAAGAATTTTCATTGATCGGACTAAGACCCTTCCGCCTAGCAACATCGCATTCATCCTCCAATAAAGACCGGTAGACCACAGTAGCCCAGCCGAGTTCCAAAAAAGAAAAGAAAAAAATCTCCCGCCAAGGAAATTAAGGTGGGTGCCATATATTGCTGGGGAGGCAGCGCTGTGCGCTAACCTGTATTTATCTACCAGGCTCATTGTCACTGAATGTTATTGTCATATTTTCTTATCAGAGTGGACCATTTTCACCTAGCAACACCCTATTACATAAGCGGCTGATAGCTAGGAGAAAACTTTACAAACAATTGTCTTTCAAACTGGTGATCTCAAATGTTATTACTCCATCTGTCCTGTCCTGAAATAAACATATCCTTATAAGAATTCTAAAACATCTTATGAGAGGTAAAGCGAATGTCGTATGCAAATGCAATATTTCCTTAATCATTAAAATAGATTGTGATTACTATATTTAGATGATTGAATATTGATAGACATTAATGGTATACATGTGAATAGTATATTTTAAACTGAATTAATGGTTACTTCACATGTACTAATTTCTTATACTTTATTTAGAATAGATTTTAAATGCTTGTATACCTCGTATTTCAGAGGGACTATCTTACGAAGTCGCCCCTGCCATGCGCTTGTCGTACCTGGACGCCGCCCGAAAAACTCTCTCGCCACGCCTCCACCGCCGGCGGGGTCTTCGGACGCGGCGCAGAACGCAACCACCGTGGGGGGTAACCACCCGGCGGCTGCCAAGGGGAAGCGTCGTCATCGGCGCAGGACCTGCACGCCCGATGGTCAGAGGAATCCACCATTGCAGGCTGCGCGAGTGCCCGCGCAGCGTCGCCTTGGTCCACAGCCGACGGCAAGAATCCTAGTGCATCAACGCCTCGGCCCACGGCGTTGGGCGTCCGTGCCTGGCATGTCTCGGCAGCCTCATCAGAGGCCCAACGTCGACGCCGATAGATTCCAAATTGTCGAGGGTCGTCGTCAGCGGCGCTGTCTGGGGAGAACGGCACCCAAACGCCACCGCCCCGTCCCACCGGACCTCGTGGGTCTCTGCTTCAACTGCCTCGCGCACGACCACGTCGCCGCTCAGTGTCGCTCCCGGTCCCGTTGCCTCCGTTGCCGGGGGACCACTCGAGCAAGGGTGTGCAAGCGTGGTCGTTCGCCGGCGTGCAAGCCTTCGGCGCGTCGCCCCAGCTGGAGTGTGGAACGTCGCCCTGCTAGTCCGAGGCGACCTAGCTTGTCACCGGAATGTCGCGCCGCGCTAGGTTTGACGCCCACAACGTCATCGCCTTGTCGTGTGCAGCGGTTGATCGCACCGTCATCGTCGCCACAACAGCAGCCTGCCGGTATCACCACCTCTGGGTGACGTTGATAACCGTCCCAAGATCGAGGTCTTCGTTGTCCAGAGGAACGTGGAGCTCGCCGCGTCTGGAGCGGACCTCTCCTTTGTTCTCGTCACACTCGTTGGTGGACAAAGCCAACCGTCACGCCGGAGGAGTTCCAGGCACACCTTTCCTTGAGGTTCCGTGTGTCTGTGGGCGCGGCCGGGGTCTATGCTTGGCTTGGGGGCCCCTTGGCACACGTGTGTCAGCTAGATGGCCACTCTAGCATCGCTATGCAGGGAATACAAGCGGTGCACCCTGAGCCTGAGCTCGTAGTGGACCGTTGCTTGGAGGTTCAGCGTTGGGACTTCGATCCCATGCTGGTTGAGACGGAGGCATGTCTGGCCAAAAGGCCACATCAGGTAGGTCCCATGAGCCAGACCGTGTCGGAGGTGGCCCAGACGAGTGCGGCTCGGGCCAAACCTCACCAAGGCCCTCGCTCTTGGTGTCGGAGCAAGCTGGAGGATCCCCACCCCCGGTCCAGGTCGACTTCCCCACCAACCAGGTAGGTGCAGACGGTGGTGGCCCAGCCACACCGGCTGTTGATGCCAGTGCGCCTGACGCGACGGCCGCAACGTCGACTGAGGACTTCATCGCTGCATTCAAGAAGCCGCTCACGATGCCTGTCTTGTCGTCGCCTCCACGACTATGCGGCTAACTCAGGGCGGCCAGAGCGCGGGCGGGGGAGCTGGATGCTTGGAGCTTGTCCCCAAGAGGAGCGCTAGGCTTGCCGCCAAGAGTAGGCACAGGGAACAGAAGCCGGAGGCTCAAGCGCGGAAGGTGATGATGAAACGTCTGGGGCTCGAGATGGAGACAGAGCTACCTGATGAAGCCTCCTTTGAGGAATTCCAGACCGCCTTTATCGACGCGGGAAGCTATGCAGGTCCTCTTTCCGGGTAGGAACCCGCGGGCCTAGACACTCGCTTTTGTCTTGCTGTTTTGGTCGCAAAACACCTTTCCTATGTAATTTTTTCTAAGTGTATCCAGTAGCTAGGTGGTAAGGTGCGTTGTGTCACGAAGGTTCCTCGCTTGTGCTTAATGTTGACGGAGTATCCTCAAGCGCGCTGACGAGTGCCACAGAAATTCAAATGGAAAACAATTTTACCAGGATTTACCGAGGTGTGATAATCAGTATTTACCTGTCGTCATTCCTCGTCTAGTTGTTCTTATCATCCACTAAGATTTTTCATTGGTTGGACTAGGACCCTTTCCACCTAGCAACATCACATTCATCCTCCTTGTTCTTATGATCCTTCATCCCACAAAGGATTTTCTACCATGTTCGCTTGATCGTATCAGCCATACTTATCAGTCATGATATAATATTTTTCTCTCACAATAAAACAG